GCCTTTACAGAGGCCAATAATAAACCCTTCCTATCAAATGAGCAAAACTAAGAATAATTCAGAAGGAGAGATCCTCTCTTGTTCAATAATTAAAGTTCAAGTCTTTGGTTTGCCTTTTTTTCCCTTGCAACTTCATTAAATCATGACATTAAATAAAGATGCTAGATCAAACCAGTGTGTTGTCAATCCTAAATATCATCTTTGACTCTGATGTCAGGTGCTTGCATGGATGGGAAACAGCTTTATGAAGCATCGACTCCCTGTTTATCACTTCCCTGCTTACACTTGAGACAGTGCTATAGAGAATTGGAAATACAGGGGCTAATCAACAATTACTAATGGACACTAACTGCACAGAGATGTGGAATTTAATGAAATAATGTTAATACTTTTTTTTTTAACAGAATAAAGGTGCAGAGAATTGTCAATTGTCTGGACCAGTGGAGGGGAACATTGGCATGGATAATAAAAAAGCGAAGATAGTATTCCAGCTGAACAGTGTCTGCTACCTGACCTTACTAGCCCTAGTTCATTGTTTGTGTAATCAACAAAAACTAGCTAATATCAAATGTTTACTACGTGCCAGACATTGAACTAATCACTTTAAACACATTATCTAAATTTAATCCCTATAAACCATGAGGTTCGTTCTATTACTGTCCCAATTTGAACATGAAGAAATTAAAGACTGGAGAAATAAAGTAAGTCACCCAAGATCCACAGCTCATGGCAGAGCTAGAAGTCAAACCAAGTTGCCTGGAATCAAAAACAACTTTTTTTCCTACCACTACTACATTGGTGGAATCTTCATGAACACTTAACTCCCACCTAAAAGGAGGAAATACTAAGTTATGATTAATTCTGTCACCTACTGAAAACTTATTCCTAAAAGCAGGGATGAGTTTTGAACTGTATATTTAGAAGTTGCACGAGTATACCTATTTATTCATTGTAATGATACCTAGATATGGCCACAAGAACATCCACAGTTTCATACTGAACTCACTGAAACAGATTTTAACCTTTGTACATAACCCCTTCATTAAGCTTGTTGATGACCCCTGGAATTGCAGGAAAACCGCAAGTAAGAATCCCCACTCCATTACATTACACTAAAATTGTGAAAGTGGGTATGGAGGTAAGGGAGAAAGGATTCCATCAGAACTCCATGACCTCATTAAACAACCAGGATTGGGAGTGAAAGTTTCCTTGGCTAAATTTCTCTTCTGTCTTTGATCTCCAGAACAGGCTCTATCCTGCATTTCTTAATTTCTAGCCCTATTAAACACAGCCACACTAAGGTCATCCATACTTGAAGGGTAACTTGGTCACAAAATAGATCTAGACGCTAGATAGAGGGACAAACCCAAGTGCTGTGCATGGTGACAACTTGAGGAGGGGGCTTGGTTCTATCTGGGAATGATCTAGTCCCCACAAAGAGAAGGCAATGCCAAGATGAGACCCCCTAAGGATAACCATCTGAGAATGGAAGAGGAACTCCCATTGTCAAGTTTACACCTTCATCCCGTCTCTCTAAATTGGGCTTGCCTATCATGGGATGGAAGGGTTTTTAGTTTTGGGTGTGGGGAGGGGTTGGTGATGGAAGGAAGTAAATCTTGAGGAATTTCTGGAATGTACAGAGGAAGGTAACCTGAATATGAGTATTTGAACATATGTTCTCTTTAAGCTCAGATTATGACAGAACAGCTCAATAAAATCCCTTCTCAGTTGGGCCAAGACAGGCAGGCAGTCTCCTACAGCAACTCCTAGTAGTGCCAGCTATTGAAGGGCACAGCTGGTTGGAGGAGGTGGCGGGGAGGGGGGAGGGAAAGTCTGTCCTGTCAGTGACAATATTAACACTGCCCAGGGGCCACGCCCAGTAAGAGGAGGCACTCAAAAAAAGTCTGAAACAAATAAACAAACTGTCAAACACCTCTTGAAGTATACCAACTTAGATAAAAGTCACATTCTTTACATTTTGTCTGCATTTTAAAGTGCCACTCTCTGGGCAAAATCAAGATGTACAGATGAATGTTATGGTCACCAAAGTCAGGCACTCTTGGTTCCATGATTTTAGTCACGACTCCTAACATAGATAATGGGCAAGTCTGTGAACAACGTAGAGAGAGGTACACAGTTGGGAAGACGTGGTGTGTATACCAATTTCTACAACAGTTTTTATAAATGTTAGTATTAGGTTTCATATGTTAATTTCATGACTTGCTATTGGGTAACTCTCATTTTTTGTAGTAGTTCCATTGATTCTTTTGGATTTTCCAGATATACCATTAAAAATCCGCTCGCTTGCCTTCAACACCTATAAAGATGTTATTCAGCTCCTTATTCCTTTTTTTTCATAGTTCTGTATGGGATTCAACCAATAACTTTTCTATTGGTTGTTTTTAAGTAACCTGAGTTTTTCTGTAGTTTAAGAATAGAAGAATATCTTTGCCGAGATAGTGGCACTTTAAAATTCAGATTGCTTTTCTGGCTTTATGGAATAAATTTCTTTATTTCCATGAAGTTAAGGGGTGGGGGAGAAAAAAAAGACCATCTAGCACACACTATCTTCCTCCATCTGCTTCTCTCAAACACTTCTTTCTGGGCTTTCTATTTCCTTTGTCCCTGTTGAACCTACCCTGCATGGAAATCTCCAGCACTTTCTATTCAGTGCAGGGCTTTGTCCTGGAAAGGTGCAGCAACTGGACAGTTTAGAGAAGTCACAGGACAAGGACCAGCAGATGACTCATGCCACGGTCTCCTTGAGCTCATCCACTCAGAGGAGCCACCTAAGTCCCTTCCCAGTGGTTGTCACTGTCCTAAGAATGGCCCAACGAGCTGCCAGTGTGCCACACCGATGGCAATGTGGAAGCTTCCTGGCTCTGAGAACAGTCACAAGCCCCCTGCTGTCCCTGACTTTCCTCCCTCACACTTTCAGGTACCACACAGTTCCTAAAACTGTTCATGGTTTGTTCCCCTCACCTCTATTTTAAGGTTCGTGGAGATGCCTTGTCTGCTATACAGGGTGGGGCCAAAGTAGGTTTATAGTTGTGAGTATGGGGAAACACAGCATTTATTCTTGTATTATTATTTATTAGTTATTGTATTGTTTCTCATATGAACAATGGTACACCTTCTTTTGCCCCTCGCTGTATTTGCCGTCGCTGTTATCCATTGTTTTGGATTTACTATACTGGTTATTCAAATTATATGAGGAGTTTCAAACCCTATGCTATTATCATCCTCCCAGAATCCTCTCCCATTTGATTTTTCAAACTATGTCCAAGCATTACTTTAATAAAAATAAATTTTAACTTTAAAGAGAGAAATACAGAGAACATCAGACAAGTCTCAATTTTTCTTGATAAGGATTTTAATTCTTTATTAAAAATTAAAAATAAATATTGAAATCCCACTGTCATTTATACTATGATGTACACTGACTTTTAAAACTACATAACCCCCAGTAGCAACAAGCATACCTATGGCCCACATCCTGGTTTCTAAATACAGTTTTTCAATAAGTAGAACCAGAGCTCTTTAGAGAAATAACTGATTCTAGGTGTGGGGCTTGGAAAGTACAATATAAGCCACGACTGTCCCGTAGGGCCAGAACGCAAGGAAGTGCTCAAAAAACAAAGGGATAAAGACATCTCAGATGGACACACAGCTCCCAATGGCCAAAGCAGAAATAGTCTGAGCAACGAAATAAATAGCACAGCAGTAGATTGTAACTAGTATTACAGATAAAATACAGGACTAGTTAAATTTAAATTTCATTTAAACAGTGAATAATTTTTTAGTATAAGTATGCCTCACTGCAATACTTGGAAATGCCATTTTCTCTATATCATTTATAGGTTGACATAATAATATTAAGATAAATATATAGTAAAAACATGTAATTCTCTTTCCATAAAATAGGCTTAATTATTCACAACAGAATAGAAGAAGAGAAATAGTGATATACCTAAGACCTGGATGGATGCTATCTTGTTATCACAGACAAGATTATGGGGCCAGTTTGGTGAAAACCAGATAATCAATTCTCTTCGCAGATGTTTTACATTACTAATATTTCAGCTTAATTAACACAAAATGTGACACAAAATTTGTACAGTGTCATACAGTTTAATTAAATTAAATTGTCAAGCAATGACATTTCTTGCCCTGTTTTGGCTCTCATGGAAATCAATATTTAAAATTTGTGAAATGGCATGATTTTCTTAGGAAGATAACAGAGTTAAAATTCTCTCAGCATACTCCTCTTACCTTTTAAAAGCATCTGTTCAAAAGGTCCTTAAGTATAAATTCAACCTGAAAATTACTTAATTGAAAAGATCATGAGGATTTTTTACAACGTTAAATGCAGGCTGGTCTTGGAAATACGAGTTTCAGTAAAAATTTTACAGTCAAAAGCAGCCATCACCTCAGATCTTTATACCTCCTTAGGTCAAAAGGCAAGACTTGATATAGATTGAACTTAGAAAAGTCTACTATCATAAAAAAGGATTTCTCTTTTTAAGAGGATTCAATGTCTAGCTCTTACATTTTAAAATACACTGGAAACAAACTGGAATAAGACAAGTGAGCACATTTTAATATTTATCCTGAAATGACATTCTTTGTGAACTTGCCAAATTCAAAACTACCCTTACTGTCTGCACGGCAAAGGTCAATATCCTCTCCAAGGTTTTAAGATACCAAAGGATTTTTAATTATAAATTCCTCTAACTGAAAACAACTAGAAAAAAATGATTTTTCCAAAAATAAGTTGAACCATGTCTCCTTTGCTTGCTGGGTGCTTATGAATAAAGAGTCTGTATATAGTTTGCTCAAGTACGCGCTCCTTCTCTCCCCTAAGACATCACACCACCCTGCGAGAGGATGCATCACAACATGCTGGTAACACCGCCTGCCCTCTTCCTGCACAATGTGCTAGTCTTTGAAGTCTTTTACTCCTCCTGTTCACCCACTGAGAAGGGACAGCCCGCACTTACCGAGCTGGGGCTGGAGTGCCGCCTAACTTTAGGAGACTCCTTGCCGGTAGAGGACGTCTTAAAGTTGATGCAGGCATTGTTCTCCGAGTGCACCCTCTTTACTTGATTAGTCGGTTTCTCAAATGGGTCAAAAGTGCTCTGCGTCCTCTGAACCCTGACTTTTTTATCCTCAGGAATTGTGTCCAGGGGTTTGATCACTGAGTCCATTCCCTGGCAGTTCCGTGTAGACATCTTTGTGACACATATCTGGAAAAAAAAGAAAGAAAGCAATTAAACTCAGAACTCTCCCCTGAGACTTTAATATCGAAAACATGCTGATTTGTTATTCTCTTAATTTTAGGGAACACCCAAAAAGGCCACATTGTAAAAGCTACACCACATTAAATCACAGAGGGACTGAGACATTCGGCAGGCTGGCAGCTGTCGGGGGAAGGCGGGGGGCTGGACGAAAGAAGGTGAAGGGATTAACCAAAAAGCATATACACACAACTCCTACACACAATGACGGTGCGGCGATGGCCACAGGGAAAGGGGGGAAGGGCTGGGTGGATGCAGGCAAAGGGGGAAGATGCGAACAAAAACAAAGTTTTAAAAAATTCTTCATAATCATTTTGCTTATACTCGCTTAGGGCTGACACTAAAAATGTATCCCTAAAACGGGAAACTTAAGGCCTAGACTGCTAGGGCCCCAAGGCGGTTCTTGAACTCTGTCACATGTGTTACCATCTGACTACAAATGAGATTATTTCTGAATCATTAAGAAGTTGGATAGCTTGCCTTAATAGAAAAAAATCAGTTGAGCTAAATCAGATCATCATTTTAACTCATGGGTCACCATGGAAGCAGCTAACACAAGCTACAGAAAAAGATCATTATGTTCTTTGAAAGCGTTATGCTTCAATATGTGTGTTTCCAATCTGTCCCCATCTTGATTTCATCTCCAAACTGGAATGGGACATATTAAAAGGTTAATATGGTTAGAGATGTTGAAATTTTTAAAATGATGGGTTTTTTTTAAATATCAAAACTAATGAATAAAAAGGAATAATACTGTAAAAGAAAAACATAAACTAACACATTTCAAGATTTTGATTACATTAATCCGCTAAACTCCCATTCCCTTCCCTTCACTCATTCCCATCCTGCACAACCTACCCCACTCTCTCATCTTAGTCTCTCTGACTTTTGCTCCTTGTTTTCTATTTAAGTTCTAACTCTTTCATTCTCTCTATACTCTGGAGACTTTGTTGTTCTTATTAAATAACTTCATGGCCTCTAGCTTGTCTGTAAAGCTAGGTAGCTTTATTATACCCTCTAGAGAAAAGAGAACTCTGAAATTGCTTTTGAAGGTTTTTTTTTTTCTTGTGAAGTTTCCACATCCCTATTTAAAAAGGCAGGAAAACAAGATATTTCAGATATGTTTGTTAGTAAAACTATAGAGTGCCTGATACACACACACACATACACACACACACACACACACACACACACACACACACGATTCCATAAGGGAATTAATGTATCCATATGTATGAATAGATATTGATAGATACACACATACCTGCAGACAGATACAGACATTGATACAGACATCTGTAAATATATGTATGAGCTCAGTGAAAAGTATAGAAGGAAACACACCAAATTCTGTGTGTTACTCAGCATTAACTCTGCCCTAAGAGGGTGTCTCAACTAAGCACAGGTTAGATTCTAATTAAGTCAAATGAAAAGGATATCATCATTCTTTTTTTATGAGAGCAGAAAATAGCTGAAGATGTCTTTAAAAGACAAAGTCCTCTGCTCATGATCAAAAATTCACAATTTATCACAAGGAGATTAGATGCACTCAATATTTTTAAGGGTTTATGTGCCCTTAAGGAAGTGAAAGTAACACTGAATATAGGTAATGTGGATGTGAAACCACCCACACAACTGAAGCAACTGAATTATAATTATAAAATATAAACACATGGGCCTCGGAAGTTGATGAACCCAAGCACAAGAAATACAAATAAAATGACACAAAGGCATATCAATATCATATTGCTTAAAACCAATGATAAAGAAAATATCTAAAAAACCCAAGGGTAGGGAGGAAAGCACTTTAAAAGAAGTATGACAGCAAATATTTGGAAACTAAACAATGCAAAAGGAGAACTAGAAAGTATCTTGACTAAATGAAGATAATACAAAATATCAAAATGGCAGGATATTAAGTAGTACTTTAATACTACTTTTAAAGTATTAAAGTACTTTAATACTTTAGCTGTAGAAAAATTATAGTACTAAGTGCATATAGTAGAAAATATGAAAGGTCTCAAAGCAGAGAATATACCTTAAAAATACTGGAGAAAGAATAGCAATTGAGACCCCAAATAAGCAGAAGAATGAAAATAATGAATAAATATCAAAGTGGAAATAAATGAAATAGAAAATAATGAAGAATATCAATGAAACTAAAAGCTAGTTTTCAAAGAAGATTTAAAAAAATACAGCTCTAGACAGATTGATAAACATGCATTGCCAATATTATAAATGAAAGCAATGATATACTACAGATTCTACAGATACTGTGAACAACTTTATGCCAATAAAGTCAACAACTTAAATGAAACAAATTCCTTAAAAGACAAAAACTACCAAAGCTCACTCAAAACAATATTTTCAAAAAAGCCAGAATAGGGCAGTGCCTACTAATAAAATTAAATTTGTAACCAAAAACCTTATGAAAAAGGAAATTCCAGGAGCCAGACAGCATTACTGGTGAAGTAAACCAAATATTTAACGATGAAATAATACCAATTCTACAGAAACTCTTCCAAAAAACTGAAGAGGAAGGACTACTTCCCAACTCATGATAGGAAACCAGCATCATTCCAACACCAAAACCAGACAAAAACATTTCAGGAAAACTACAGATCAATTTCTCATAAATACAGATGCAAAAATTATTGGCACATTTTTAATAAATTGAATTCAATAATATATAAAAAGGATAATAAATCATGAAAAAGTAGTATTAATCCCAGGAAGGCAATGTTGACACTCAAAAATGGGCAATTCATCATTTTAATATAGACTGGTAGAAAGTCTCACAAATGGCTCGCAGTGTTGGCCACTTTCCAAGTACTTATACTCTTATTTAGTCCCCACATCTTTAGTGCAGGCTGCATTTGTTGACTTGTATCCAATAAATCACATACGGCAGAAGTCCTGGGACCACTTCTGAGAAAAGATTATAAAAGACTACGACTTTGACATGTACTCTCCTCCTCTCAGGCCTTCCCCCTCAGATCACCAGGTCTGGGGAGAGCCAGCCGCCGCAGGAGATGGCAGCCCCGTGGAGCGGCACGTGTGCACCAGGACTGGGGCCCCCAGCAACCACGGGAGACGAGCCTGCAATTGCCACCACAGGCCTGGCCTTTGCTTGACGAGAATCTCCTGAGAGCCCCTGAGCCAGAGGCACCCAGCTCAGAAGCACCTGGATTCTAATCCCACAGATATGTGAGGTAAAATAAATATTTGTTGTTTTAAGATGCTAACTTTTGGGGTATTTTTTTATGCAGCAGTAGATAACTAATACGCAGATCTTTTCAAAATCATACAATCATCTCAGCAGACTCAGAAAAAGCATGTGACGAAATCTAGCAGCCATTCATGATAAAGACTCAACAAATTAAAAATGAAAGGAACTTCCTCAGCCTGATAAGGTGCATCTACAAAAAAAACTACAGCTAACATATAAGTTAATGGTGAAAAATGCAATGTCTTTTACCTAAGAAGAGGAACACATCAAAGATGTCCACTCTCATCACTTTGATTCAACGTCGTATTATAAGTTTGAGACAATGCCAGAAGGCAAGAGAAAGGAAATAAAAAGCATTCACATTTGAAAGGAAAAAATTAAAACCAACTTTATTCACGGAAGATCAGTATAGTCTACGCAGAAAATCTAATGAAATCTATGCCGCCCCCAAAAAAGACCATAGAATTAAGGCAGAAGTTTATCAAGGGTGCAAAATACAAAATCAATATGCAAAAATCATTTGTATTTCTAGATACTAACAATAATCAGAAAAACATAATTTACAACTTCAAACAGTATAAAATATTTAGTAATAAATCTGACAAAATATGCGTAAGATCTACATACAGACACTACAAAACAAGACTGAAAAGAAGCAAAAATTAAAGGGTAAGAAACAAAACACAGAAACCAAATCATGGATCTTTCAGTTTGTTAAGACACTTTCAGAAAGAAGCTAATCTCTATGTTTCAGCCATAAATATTGTTTCTTACTTAACCTGAAGGAAGATTTACATATCCATATATAAATCAAATGAGGTGATAAATGGTTATAGAATGATAATATAAAGGAATATAAATGGCAGTTGAATTGATACATAAGTAATGGGAAAGTGGTGACTATGTTTTGACTTTAACTCCATCTTTAAGAGTAGCACCAGGAGGCCCAAATCCCACAGAAACAGCTCTTAGTTTTGCCAAGAAAAATGTGGTACATTCTTTTCGTTTGATTGTTTTATTTTTTATTTATTTTCCTTTTTATTAAATTTATTGGGGTGACACTGGTTAACAAAATTATATAGGTTTCATGTGCACAATTCTACAACACATCATCTGTATACTGTATTGTGAATATGGCACATTCTATTTGGCACTACATTCTTTTTTTTTATATGAGGTCTCTGAGCTAGCTTAGTAACATGGGCTGTTTTTTAGATAGAACACTCTTTTTTCTAATATTTATAGGGAAATATATGGTGAAAATTTTTTCTAGATATATGGGGGAAATTTTTACTATAAAGCATAAATTTTCAGCACATGTACACCAACACAGCCACAGCACAAAATATTAGCAAGGGCTAAATGACAAATGTCACCACATGTCTACAGAGCAAAGAAAAGCTGGAAGGACATCATCAAAGCTAAAAGAATGAACTTAATTCTTTTTTTAAAGATTTTATTTATTTAGTTTTAGAGAAGAGGAAAGGGAAGGAGAAAGAAAGGGAGGGAAACATTGTTGTTGGCTGCTCCTCACATATGCCCTACTGGGAACCTGGCCCACAACCTAGGCATGTGCCCTGACTGGGAATCGAACCAGCGACCCTTTGGTTCTCAGGCCAGCACTCAATCGACTGAGCCACACCAGCCATGGCAAATGAACTTAATCTTTAACCATTTTGTGAAATCATATAAACTCAAATAAGCCTTTCATTTGCTGCCC